TACAGAGAAACAGTAGGGCCAGAGGGAGCAGCTGCTATGCCCTCCAGCCTCCCTGGCCCACCTCTGTTCTGCAGACTGCTCCGAGCACAGTGACAGTCCCATGTCTGGCCCGAGGCTCTGTCCATCTCTGCCCCTGGGTTTCTCTGCCAGGAGTACAATCCGGAGGTAGTTCCTACATAGGGGATCCTTAACCACACAGTGATGGTGACAGGAGCCACAGAGTGCATGCCCCAGCCACCCTGTGTCGGAAAACAATGATTTTGAAGTGCTCTGTCTGCTGGTTTCTGGCCACAGAGAGTTGCCATCCTTACTAATGTACATTTCCCTGCCCCTTTCCACTCTCTGCTTGATTATCTATACTTTCTAAGATCTACCTCCCTCGTTGAGACAAGGCTTTGGGTAGAAGAAATCGCTATCTGCTTCCAGGTAAACCTGACTTGCAGCCAGGGTGAGTGGGGAGCCAGAGAACAGGTGCAACAGGGCTGGGTGGTTAGAAAAGAAAGACTGGGGGAGGCATTCCCAGAACGATCTCCCAGACCTGTCTGGGATTCTGAAGGGCAAGCGGGACAACACCGTTGCCAAGCAAGTAGCATCTGGCCACGGCAAGGAGAATCAGGTATGACACAGCCCTCACAGGGCTTCTGATGGCAGGACACCCAGCCAATGCTTTTCAGTCACATGCACCTCTCACGTCAGGGCTGCCCACCTGTTTAGGCTGTCACCCTAACAACAAAACACACACAGTCTTTTGCCAAGAGATCCCTGCTCCAGCATCTTGCTCACTTCTAGATTCTGAGACCCTGCCCCACCACGTCATCACCATAGACCCATAACCTACATCCCGAGATGTGAGCTTCTTCCCCATTTCTAGCTTCTTCTAAGCCAAGTATTTCATAGTAAGCTTAATGATCCCAAACAGCCCTCTCCTCTTCCTCTGTGCGAGGCCACAGTACAGTTTGAAGCTGTATTTCTGGAACTGATCACCCCTGATTAATCACAGGGCAATGAGGTGTTAGCACTGTACTAGGCATATAGGTGTTTGATTATCTGTGCTAAAGTACCCAGAACTAACTTGAGAGTGCCCTGTGGTCAAAGCTGGAAGTAAATGAGCAAAAAGCGAACAATGATAGGATTGCTTTACAACCTACCTTGTATAGTGAGTACCCAGCTGGATCAGTAAGTAAATGGCGAGCTCTGGACTTTTCCTTACAGAAGAATTCCAGTTAACAAATGCAGCAGAATAAGCAAACTAAAAAAGCTCTACTAGAACATCACAGTAATAACTATATCATATATTCTGATTAAAATTAGTTGGAGAAATTTGAGAAATAAGGTATTTGCATAGTGAAAGTGTCACCCTTGTTGTAAGTTAATTACAAAGAGAAAAACAGTAACTTTACAGTGAAGAAATTTGGTAGGTACTATCTTAAAGGGTCAAGCTTACATCGCCAATAACAAGTCATGTTAACATCACATGCTCTCCGTGATGACATGCTGGAAAGGACACATTTCTGCAGTATTCCTCCCCCAAGTGTAGAGCCTTAATCTAATCATGAGGTTAAGGTGCCACAGGCAGTACACACAAACCAGTTTGCAGTTGAAAATATGTAGCAAGAGCTCCTTGATGGGATCAGTCTAGAGATATTTTTTGGGTGCCCCGTCTGATCTTCTGTTCCCCTCTGGCTCTTTTTCTATCTTCCTTTTGGGGATGACACTACAAAATAACTTGTTAGTCCTCTTCAAAAGTGCTAAGGTCATGAATGACAGTCAAACTCTCACGGATGGAGGATGTTAAGGAGTCGAGACAACACAGTGGAGTGTCTAGAGTCTATCCTGGACCCAAAGAGGTATGTGGAGGTAAAAACTGGAAAAGTCTAAATTCTGTAATTTAGATTACACGGCACTAAGGTTAATTTCTTAGTTTTGGTAAGATGTTAATTCTAGAGGAAGCTAGGGAAGCTGGGTAGACAGGCGCTCTCTGTCCTATGGTTACAACTCTGAAAGTGTGACAAATGGCCTGTGGCTTTAAAGTGTATGACAAATAGTGCAAAATAGAGATTTGGGAGGACTTCAGCATGCTACTGGGGCAGGAAACAGCATGACATAGAGAAAAGGATTTTGGAGCCAAAGAAACTAAGAAAAATGAGTTTCTGAGCTAAGGGGGCAGCAGGATCATGGCAGCAGCCCCACCGCCCTGGCCCAGGGAGTCAGGTGCTTGTCTCGGTGCGTCTCACATGCTAACTGATTGGGAGTACAGCTGTCAGGGTTTGTAACTGAATATGAGGGCTGAAGAGCAATCTAGGGTGGCTCCTACTTTCGAACATGAGTCACTGCTACCTGGTTGTAATACCATTCATCGAGGTGGAAAACAATGGATTTGGTAAGCAGCAGGAAGATAAGCAGGTCAGGTTGGTTATAAGGGGCTCATATGACATCAGATGGAGATGTGTGGAATGTAGTCAAAAGATAACTGGACAGCTTCAGAGAGATCTGCTCAGAGATACAGATCTGAGAGTGATTATCATGTAGGTAATGGTTGAAACTGTAGGGGTAGAAAAAAAACAGAGGGCCAAGGAAGGATGACTAACAAATCCCAACTATTACAGGAGTGATGAAGACAGAAGTGGGCGTCACAGGCAAGCGAAGCAGGGCAGCAAGAGATAACAGGAACCCCCTGGCTGGGGGATGGGGGTGAGACGGTCAGTAGAGTCAGCTGCTGCTGCAGTACACCTAAGAGGAGGTCAAAACTGACCCCTGGTAGAAAGAGTGGGTGGATGGATGTGGTTGGCCTCCAGCCTGTACCTCAGAAGGGAATGATTAGTGGTGGTAGAAGCAGATCGAGTGAGTGCCAAACATTCTTTTGAGAAAGTTGGCTTGGAAAGAAGGAAGATAGAAAAATAGCCAGAGGGGAACGCAAGATCAGAGGGGACACCCAAAAATATCTCCAGACGGATCCCTCTAAGGAGCTCTTGCTGCACATTTTCAACTGCAAACTGGTTGTATGCACTGCGTATCCTGCTGTGGCTCTGGATGTGTGTGTGCATCTTAGGCCCACAGTGAGTCTAAACTGTGATGCCTCTCTTCTCAACCAATCTGTCATCAGCACCTTCCCAGCATAGGGAGGAGAGCTGAGATAATCGCATCTGGGGTACCGTAGCTACAGCCCACTTAGAGGTGATGCTGGACAGTCTGTCACTATTCCAGAGGCAAGATTCCTTCACGAACATGTTCCATTACCCACAGCCACATTCCACCCTTGCTTTCAAAGTCCAGTGTAGAACATTTTGGGATAGTTTGAGATCCTGACTGGAAATTGGCTGCAGAAAGAGAAAGCTGCCATTACTAGGAGGGAAGCTCCCTGAGTGCCAGGGCTTTCCCATACCTACCTGTGCCCGAGGTCTTGCATTTCTTCACTGTTCAGTTGCATTTACAAGCATTTAGGTAGTAACACTCTTTAATACTGATGTTTGAGAACCGAATCAGTTTCGCTTCCTATACATTACTAGCTTTTATAAATGAGTCGTTCAACATACCAGATGACGTGCGAGGTAACCTGCCAGCAGTGGAGAAAAAGACCTGGTTTCTGCCTCTGAGAAGCCCACATCCACAAGAGGCTACAAACAACATGGGATGTCCTAAATAAGGCATGTATATTGCACATATGTGAATCATAACACAGAAGAGAACAGGACTATCACGTCTACGTTTATGATTGTGTTATAAGAGGGAGGCACCTTTAATTGATTCTAGAGATTGGAAGGATGAGCAATTGCGGGTAAAGGAAGAAGACCGGCCTTAGAGGCAGATGGAATAACATGGGTAAAAGCATCGTGGTGCTGACATGCACAGCATATGTAATAGCAATGGTATACACAGAAATAAAATCGGCAATGAGAGCAATGAGAGAGATTTACTAGGCACTCACTGTGCCAGGCACTCCTCTAAGCAATCCACATGCCCGAGCCACGTGTGGGAGTGGCTGGAGGTGAGGCTGAAAAGACGGCTGGGGGTCAGGTGATGAAATGCTTGGAATGCTGTACTAATGGGCTGGACTTTGTCCCACAGGTTGCGGGGGGAGGGGGCTTGCCACTGAGTTATATGCAAGTACTGGCAAGATTAGACTGGGGGTTAGAAAAGCTTCCTCTGTTGGCTGAGTAGGGAATGGTTTTGAGTAGCTAAGATGGGGAGCAAAGAGGTGAGTTTAAATTGGTTTTAATAGTTCAGACAAGTAAAAAGGCAGGGAGGATGGATTCAAGAGGATTTTGAGCAAGAAGAAATGGGCCTTGGAGAACCCTTCACCCCATAGATGGTATAGGAGAAGGGCTTCTGTGCGGTTGGGGGAAACACTTCTTTAGGGGAGTAGATGAGCTCTCTGTGTAGTGTGCACAGGTTGAGGTGCCAAGGGAGCAGCTCAGAATGAGAGCCAGAACTTAGGGAAAGGTTCGGATGAGTGATCAAATTGGGTACAGTGAAGGGAAGTGCAAAATCATCAAGCTGAATTCAGCCTTGCAACACTCAGATCACCTCTGAATTCTTTCTCTCCAGCCCGTCCATAAATGCTTGTATGAATAGCTGTGCACCAAGGCAGGGACACACATGGACACTTGCACAGAGGCCGGACCTCAGAGGCACATGCTCCTACATACTTTCCCCCAACCTGGAGAGGGACACACACATGCACCTGTCCATAGGTGACAGGTACACACACACACACACGTAAATAGAGCTACAAAGGTGTGTACATGAATGCACAATTTTTTGAAGAGAGGAAAAGGCATGTTTTTAGTCCTACCGTGAAGTCTTTGCTCTACTGGTTGGATGACCCTCGGTTGCTCCCTCTGTGATTAAGTCTGGTATAACAGATACCAACCACACTCTGCCTATCTGTCCTCCATCCCAGGTGAACTGGAATACCTGAAAACAGCACAACTTCTAACTAGAAGAGACCTATCCGCCCACCGAATAAAGACATCCTCTGCAACAGTCAAGCCTCCTCTTACCGAACAGCTTCTGCAGGACTTGTCCATCATACAAATCTTCAGCCAGGTCTTTCACAATGATTCTCTCTCCAACCAAGACATCATTAATCCAGTCAATTAATACCTTGAAGAGAGCGAAAGGGAATGAGAGTAAGAGTCATGGGGTGTTTTCTTATAAGCCATCTTTGTTGTCCTGGACAGACCTTAGAACTTCACATTTTGAATACGGCAGAACTAGCCGCAAACCCTGGTATGTGGACAGAGCTGTGAGTACGGCTCCTACAGGCCTGTTCATTTTCAAGTGTAAGCCCCAGTGTCCCTAGCCCCTGCTGCCCCCTCTACCATTCCTTACCCTAATGGCAGACAATGCTCACAAAGAATACCAGGTGGGCGTGAGGATGGGCTTTGGCATGCCAGACTGGTGTGAAAATCCCTGATTTAGCCACTGATCAACTTGTGCACCATTGAGGTCTGTGAACCTGTGTTCCTGTCATCTAGGGACCTGGGTATTGTACCTCTGGGGTCTATGAATGTAAGACCAGCTAGTTATCTGATCTGAGCCTGATTTCCCACCTTTAAAAGTGAGGATAAAAACATCTCCCACATTAGGTGGTAGAAAAGAACTGCATATGGCAAGGGCTCAACACTCAGCAAAAATGGATCTTAATAATTACTAATAAATATTGCACTCTCATTATGACACTTGGTCAGATGATTGTCATTGAGTTCAGGAGGGGAATCAAATTCAGCTGTGAACAATTTGTGCAAGGTCACGGAGCTGCCTCGAGGAAGGAGGAATTGAACCCTTTTCTGCCTCACTCTCAAGCACATGTTGTCTCCTGCCACTAAGGTGCCTCTCCATGGGGCCAGTGCACTCTTCTTGTCCACATCTTAGTAGGCTGCCATTACCTGAGGGCCTACTGTGTGGCAGGTACCGAGCAGAGGGGTCCCATGTGGTGTCTCATTTTAGTAATCCACATAACAGCCCTGAGGGCAGGGGACATTAGCTTCATTTATCAGGAAAGAAACTCAGCCTGCACAAGTTAATGCTTACTAAGTTATTTAGATGCGACAAAGTCCAATTTTAACTATCCAGTTTGAGTTTTGGTCATTGCACAGTTGTGTAACCACCACTGTCAAGATGGACAATGGTTCTCTCACCCAGAGGCTTCCTTTGGTGCCTTTGCGCTCCCCTCCCCTCCCCCATGACCACTGGCTTTGAGGCAACCACTAGCGTTTTGCTTTTTTGACAATTTCATGTAAATGGAATCACACAGAACATTGCCACTTAGCATAAGTAAATCACTTTTACACAGTTTACTCATCTGTAAAATGGGGGTGAAACAAAATCCCACTTCACAGGGTACCTTCCATGGTCCTAGAAGGTGTGAATGGTAAGTTCCTGCAAATGTGAGCTCATTTCCGCCAGCGTTTTCAGCACTTACGCTCAGTCCACACCATTTTGCTGGCATTTGTCATGTCCCACATTTTAGCTGTCCGCCCCCTGACCTGCAGGCAGGGAGTGATGTGATTTTTCATCCCCTCTGCAGTGATGCCTGCCGAGTCTGGGAGGTCCCTGATGCCTCCCAGTTTCTTCTTACCTTCATCAGTTCTTGGAGTTTGGGGTCACTGCGCGAGTTTGGATCCACCATTGTTCGAACTTCATTCTCCTCTTTAAAAAGAAAAGGCAATCAGTGGGGGCGGTTCTGCTGGGTGGCAGGAGGCTGCCCCGAGAGACAAGAGACCCACTTACCCAGCATGGTGTCCTCAGGGTCCAGCTCGAACGGGATCGGGTTGAGGGGCAGGTTGATGGCGTTCATGCCCTCCTCCTGGAGCTCCGAGACTGTGAGGAGAAGGAAGGCAGAGTCACTTGCAGCCCACTGACGGGGGAGTGGGGGGGATGTGAGGAGGAATAGGGGGTGGTTGGGTAGGAATGTGTGTAGGGGGTGGGGTGGTGATGTGTGTGGCAGATGGGAGGGTGGGATAAGGCTGTGTGTTGGGGGCAGGGTGAGGTGAAGCGAGGCTCCATAACACTAAGGTTAGGTTACTCAGCCTGCAATTGAGTCCTTGCCTCTTCTTGCTTAAAGGACCTTTCATGTCACCTCTTTCAAATGTTAACTCACACCCCTCTCAGGAGAGGTGGGGTATTCTCAATGGCACAGAAATATGCCTCCTCTCAGAAATAATCATAGGAGTGAGATGGGCACTGGCGTTTTAAGACTCTGCCTTTTGCCTCCTGGTTTCCCTGAGAATTGTTCTGAACAGTACCTCTTTCCTTCTTCCCTCAGCCCCTGCTGGAGAACACCCCAGCCCCACATCCTCCCTGGCTCTGATTCTGTCCTTTCAGCTCTGAGGAGCTACTGATGCTGGGGTTACCTCGCCCTTCCAGGCCCGGTTCCTCAGCTGACCATGAGGAGCTCGACTGATGCCCAGCAAATTCTTTTACAGTTTTCAAACCCTCAAATCTACAAGGGCACTTTCTTTAAGAAAAGTAAGAGGTCAATGGCCATTAAAGACTTACAGCCCACTTTCTTCCATGCACCCGCCCCCAACAGGAAGACTTAAAAAATCGTATCACAAAACCAGTGGTGTGTTGTTGGACACTTGCTGAGAGCTGACCTTGGATTACCTCACTGAAAGCAGTGACTTAAATCCCCTTACCTCTATTCAGTTCCAATCTGGATAATTACTTTCCATCAATTAAGCACAGAAAGACCATTTTCTCTGAAGACATTGATCACCAAGTTTCTTAAGAGCTAATATGACAGTTGCAATCAACTTTAGGGAAAGCAATGTCCCATCTTTCCATTTTATTTTTTTTCACTGACTCTGGCCTCACCAATTGCCAGCATATACTTGCAAGAACTCTTAAGCACCAGGCAGCCACTTACAAAGAGTTCTTTCATATTAGCAAACTCACTGATGGTTGCAGTTGGACAGGGAATGGGATTGCCTAACAAAGAAAGTGAAACACACTCTACCCTAAAGAGACACAACTCACATTATGAAGCTGGTATTTAGGCCTGTTGCTGTGGGCCCTTGACAGTCACTGTCTTAAATCTCTAAATTCACAGATACCCACCAACACATAATTCTCCTCCATAAAACAAAACAACTTAAGATTGACACCTTCAAGGCTTAAATGACTCAAAGTATAGGACTGTATTTGCTTTATAGCAAAAATCAAATGCTTCCTGAGACTTCCATAATTTCTTCTATATTTCCCCTAGCTGGCATGTTGCTTTCTTATCCAGGCTATTTCTCGCAAAGAAGATTTCTACTACTTAACAAGCATCATTATGCAAAGCACTGGAAGTAAAGTCACATTTAAATGTAGGTACCAGGCTGGGATTACAGGCCAGTGAAAAAACTAGCTCCTGCCTAGGGCCTTCTCTCCTCAATCTATATCTCCCCAGATCTACACTGTTTAGTAAGATAGCCATTAGCCATAGCACATATTTAAATTGAAATGAATGAAAAATTCAGATCACATTTCAAGTGCTCGATGGCCCACATGTCATTAGAAGGTACCATACTATACAGCACAGATGCAGAAAACTTCCATCATCACCGGGAACTCACCTGGGAGGTATTGACCTAGGTGAGCCCATAGATCTAAGTGCTGCTGATATCCACATTAAAGCTCCAGCCTGGGCCTGACCTGAGCTTCAGGCATACTTCACATCTCCCCACACATACATTTTGGGGATATCATTTCCACCTTACATATTGTAAGGAAAGAACAATCGTCTCTGTCCTGGGACCATTTACAACCAGAGCCAATTTGTGAATACAGGGATATTTATACCCTCAGGAATGTAGTGTTTTCAGCCAGACCTCCTAAAGGTGGAGCTGTACGGGAACTTCTTTCTCTGTGTAGATTATTGTTAAAAATGTTTTCAGATGAAAAATCCCCAGTCAGAAACACTCCTCTCCACCCTCCCTGCCTCTTTAATTCACTCTCAGAGACATAACAAACCAGAGCAGAAAGGCAGAGATATGTTTGCAATTGCAAATGTTTTTTTCAGGAAATCACTCAGTACAGGAACATCATTCCCATCCCATTAACTGCTGACTCGGAGCCAACTGTTTGTAAAAGTGAATATGCAAACTGCCCTGTTCAGGCCTGGACCCCCGCCCCATGGGGCTGCATTAGTGGCCACTTTCCCAAACAGCCCGCCTGCTCTGGAGGTTTCATTTCTATTAAGCCAAAGCAGGACCCAGCAGAAGCCCCTCGCCAATCCCGCCAATCCCACCAATCCCTGTGCTCCAGAAGAGAAAAGAGCTGCAATTGAATTTTCTCAGCATGGAATATGAATATTATGTTTATCCCTTAAACCTCCCCTAACCATCTAAAACTAGGTCTGAATGTACAGCCCTCAGTGTCTTGCAGCGCCATTAGTCATAACTTAATAAACAGATTAAATGCCCAGCCAAAGGTCGGGCTTGAGAAAGCAGAAGAGCAGTCCTGAAGTGCTCGCCAGGAGAAAGGGGCTTTGGCTTTTCTGGAAATGCAGGCTGACTCTGGCTTTAGCTGCACCACAGAAAAAGTAGGCGGATGGGCTTTGGAGTTTGAAAGTGTTGGATTTGAACCCTACTTCTATTTTTATCAGCAGTGGGACCTTATGTAAGAGGCTTAACCTCTTGGAAATTCTGTATGAAACAATTCTTGATAAAACAAGGGTGTAGCTGACACTGCAGATTTCCTAATCAACATTTTACTATTTTTCCCTGCTGAAAGAACTCACATTTTGTTCCAGTATAGACCCTTCCCTCCATGCCTCTAGGTGAGGTCCTGACAGATTATCAAACAAATAATGATAGTCTTGTTTTTTTTTTATCAGTGATGAGTTCAAGCCTTGTCATATAAAATTCTGTGAAGAAATTTCTAGAAGTTTCTAGAAAAAACTTTCCTCCAATTTGAAGAGAAGCCCAAGGAAGAGAAAGTATTTTTCTCCTTCTAATCTTTATTGCATCAGGGAGTTATGTCTGGATTTGCTGCACCGATTTTGTAGCCATGAATTAAGTTTACCCCAAGAAACTACTAATATGCTAAGGTTGACCTAAAAGAAAGAAAGAAAGGGCTCTTATTGATACTATTAAGTGACCATCCCCGGCTTCATGTGTTTTGTTACAAGAGATGTATTATGTTTTTTTATTGTTTAAGCCAGTTAATTTGGTGTTTTTTGGGATTTGGAGCTTGAACTCCCTCACGGATGGGGGTATACCAGGATTAGGGATGAAAGCAGTAGGTCTGCAGTGAATGGTGATTTCCCTTTCCTTTTCTCCATGAGCAACAGTATAGCTGCAGACATCTCCTATACTCCAGAACATGTGCAGGGGTTCAAAGAACACTAGGAGGGAGTCAGAGAGAGAAAGTGTGGGTGTGTGTGTATGAGGGGTATAAAGAGAATGTCCAGGCACAGAGATCAGTGGAACAGAGAAGAGAACCCAGAAACAAATATCTGCCCACAAAATCAGTCAGCTGATTTTTGACAAAGGGGCAAAGGCAATTCAATGCAGACAGGATAGTTTTATCGATAAATGGTGATAGAACAATTAAAGACCCATATGCAAAAAATGAATCTAGACACAGATCCACAGATGATAAACTTTTTACAAAATTTAACCCAGAATGATTACAAACCTAAGAATAAAACACAGTAGTATAAAATTTCTACAACAAACACAGGAGCAAATCTATGTGATCTAGGGTTTGAGAATGAGTTTTTATATTTAACACCGAAAGGACCAATCCCTGAGAGAAAAATTGAAAAGTTAGACTTCATTAAAATTTCTACTCTTTGGAAGATATTGTTAAGAGAATGAAAAGACAAACCACAGACTGGGAGAAAACACAGTTGACTCTTGAAGAACACGAGTTTGAACAGTGTGGGTTCTTTTACTCTTTTTTTCCTATTCAACATGGTTGACTTCATGATTCAACTAATCAAAGGTAATGATTGGTTAAATTGACAGATGTGGGAGCCACGTATATGGAGGGCCAACTATACACTGGAACTGAACAATGAAGTAATGGATGGTGGTGATATGCATGGTGGAGTTGGAGGTTACAGATAAGCAAGGGGGGAAAGCTAGGATGACCCATGTGGTAATAAGTCATTAGAGTAGAAGACATCCGTAAGAACTCATGTTTAGCTTAATATAAAGATAGGTACATGTAGAGGGCCTCCCTGCTGGCGCAGCGGTTGAGCGCTGGGTTGCGAAGCTCCCCGCGGCCTCTGCGGCGCCGGTTCGATCCCAAGCTGCTCCGCTCCCCGCCCACCGGAGGAGGGTCCCACATGGCGCGCAGACCTCTCCTGCCGCCCGCTGCTCCCCTCAGCAGTGTACTCCGGTCCTTCTGCCTGCTCTGCTCCCTGCTCTGGCTCTGGTGAATTCTCTCACCCTCCCGCCCTTCTGACTGTACCCAGTGCATGTATAAACAAACAAACAAATAAATAAATAAAATATGTGCCTCTTTAAAAAAAAAAAACAAAAACTTTAGAAAAAAAAAAAAGATAGGTACATGTAGAAATATTTGGAGATAGGTGTTATACCTGATCTAATGTACACACATCTTTCCTTGTTGTATTAACTGAGAGCAGCTAAAAGAAATGACATTCCAATGAACATATCTGGTACCCAGATCTTTGTGTCTACAACCATTCTTAATAAAAGGAACCAGGGTTCCTTGGAAAAGTGGCTGATTCTTGGACTGGAGAGGAAATCTAAAAGATGAGTCTGAAATCAGGAAGTAAGGAACTAGAACCATTTGAGCAACAAAGTAAGTAAAGTCACATTACATTATAACTCAAAGCACAAAATAAGTATCCACAGTGATAT